CATCTATTAATCTGTGGTCGAGTTCAAGTCACGTGTTCTGTGTGATCAGTAATCCATTGTCTAGGAGTTATATACATTATATTGTCTAGGAGTAATCCATTATGTTGCTTCGTGTTCGTGCTGCGCATTAGTTTGAACGTATTTGTGTTTTGGTGTTTTTTTTCTATTTTATTTAAAATTAGTGCTTTGGTGGACAAATAATCAAATGGCATAAATTGGCGATAAAATTGTTTGCAGATTTTGGTTAGTATTTTGATGAATTGTTAATTCAAGACGTGAAACAAAAATTTTGACAGCGTTCTATTTCGTATTCGCTTTGATTTTCAATGTGAAATATTCGTTAAAAATGTTGGTGCTTTCCACGCTTTTGTTGCAACACGCGGTTGATTTAATATAAAACACAATGTTTGTTTTATTTATGATTATTATGTACATACGCACTTACTTTATTTATTGATATCATTTCCAATTTCATAGAAACGCTATAACTAATGCATATTCTATTTTAACACTGTAGTTGACATTAATTTTTTTTCCTTTTGAGACTATTTTAAAATATTTTATTTCTATATATGAATTAGTATAATATTCTTAACTTTCAGGTGTCGGTGAAGAAATTTTATCCAACATAATGGAGAGCCATGTGAATGTTTTGCCGAACAAAATCATCCTACATTTTATAGCCATGCAAGGTACACTGAGTAATAATTTTTAGCAAGTAAGTACTTGCAAGTTATTTATTGCGTTGGATATAATCCTGATTAGTATTATCAAAAATGCTTAGTAATAGCAAAATTGTTTTACGAAACACTTAAATGCACATGTTTCCAGAATTTCATGAATGAAATTCTAGACATTTGATCTGCTTTTATTGTCCGAACCTACAAGTAAAAAGTATGTCTATATATTTATTAACAGTTATCAGCAAATGTTGTCTGTATAATTATGAGTTTAGCTGTTAGTTTACGATTCACAAATTTTATAATTGCTAGCAAATATGGTTGTTGATGACACGCTGTCGATAATTTCAATTATTAAATTTGTTATTAACTTTCTATGGAACAGATTAAACTTATGTAGCATTGTTTATGGTCCTTGGTCTCATTCTCTTATTTGTTTCTTATTTTACTATCCTCAATTTTAATTTTGTAACTATTTTATATTTTCTTATGTTCAAAAGTAGACCTCACATGATTAACTTCACAATTTTTTTCTTGGCATAGTCTCTACTATACTTAGAGGGTACTCTGCTTTCTGGTCACCTCCTAAAATTAATATTATCAAAAACTTGACTTACTATGTAAAATTCTCATAATGTCTCAAATTTCTGATATGTTTACATATTCCCACTTTGAGATATACTTTTGCACTGTAATAATTCTTTCGGAAGACATTTGCTGGCTGCTATAGAGTTTATCAGAAGTTGTGATAGAATATTGTACTTATTCATTACTAATGTATCCCAATAAATTTTGGCATATGTATATGTATGTATGTGTATATATTAGATGCAGTTGTTAAAAATCTAGTTTTACATTGTTTTCAATTATTATGATTGGATGAGACGTCCTGAATTGATTAAGGAATTTAAATTGATTTGCGTTAACAGATACTCATTGCAATAAGTTTATAGTAATGGTTTCTTTAAATGTTTCAAAACAAAACATTATCAAATTTGAACTTGATACTTAATAGTTGTTGTTTGCCACCAGCATGGAACTTATGAACCATGATTAGCTGAGCTTGGGATCTTATATAGTAGATTTTTTATATTAACTATGATGGAAAATTGTTTTCCTCTACAAATAAAACAATGAAATTACCCAAGTGACAATAGCATCAATTTCAAATTCAATACAAATTGCTATTTGCTTTTTAAACGATCAATGAAAGCATTTATATACAATTAATTATACATCTATAGCTAGGGCATATCATTAATAAAATCATGAATTTACTTGCAAAATTAATTGTAGAATCCATGAGTTTTTGTCTTTAAGCCTGATTCAGTGGAACAAATTTACATTCAAAAACTAAAGTATGTGAAATAATGCAATTATGTAGCTTGTATAGTAGTTTAACTGTGCATTAATTTTTCATGTAATAGTTGAAAATGATTTTATACGTGAAAATCAATAATCAATACTTAATCTTGCATGTACTTTAATTATTCTGAAGGAAAAAATATTGAGAGCATTTCATTTTTAGCAGATATGCAATACTAAATACATTTCAGTTTTGGTATGAGATTTTGGAGAAACTCTTTATCCTTGCATATAGAAATACAATAAATTCCCAAAAATACTGTTTGTTTAGTTGCAAGCACTATTATTTTTATGCAGTAAAGCAAAACATACGCTCCGGTGACCAAACAAATAAATCACATTCATAGAGCACCCACACATCTATGTTTGCATTTTGCGTAAAATACAAATGCGTATTGCTTAACCTTATATTTCCATTATATTCCTATTATAGCCTTGGATTCGAGTTCCAATCCATACTGCATATTTACCTTTGCTTGGTCAATAAGATCTCTGTTATTAAAAAAAAGGCATTGATTATAAATTCAATACTTCTATAGCCTTGGGTTCGAGTAATTACGAAAAAACGGCGTGGTCGAACTTCATCAGTATAAGTAACAGTTTAAGAATATATTTGCGAAATACGTACATCTTATCATCTTTTGGTAAATCATTGTCGTTGTCCTCCGCTCTTTCGGCTTGCTGAATATCCTCGTTTTTATTAGTTATATTATCTGACTTGATGTCTTTCTTCGCAACAAAACCTATATTGATAAAAAAAATATAATACGATTTAAAAAGTTCCTTGTTAATTTGAATAGTTTGTAAGATAGAAACTCACATTTTCTGCGATAGCGGTCAAACACAAACGAAGTGATTTAGAGGTACGTCGAAAATTTTGTCTATGCGAATTAATTGGGTCAATGGGATTTCTGGAATTCAAAAAAGCATTAATTACAGATTCAATACTCCTACTCTTTGACTTGCAGAAATTCTGTAAATAAAATAAAGACCGAATCATTATTTGTTCAGCTGATAACACAATATGCGAATTATAAAATTTCGATGGCCATGGCTCACAGCTTTATCCTAGCTTAAAAAAAATGAATCTTGCTCCTTGATAAAAATAAGATAAACGAGAATACTTACACAGCATTCACTTCATTTTTTCATGAAGGAGCCGATTATACTAATCAATGTTTAAATCTTCTATATTTTTCAACACCGCGTAAAGGAACAGATACTCGAGGTGGAAATACTTCTTTCACCAGCTCTCCTTCAGAGTACTTTTTCTTATCTAATGTGGTGGTTTTTGTAGTATTGAGAAATATTGTAAGTGCGAAACTATGTGAAATTTATAAATAGTAGATTTTTATGAAAGCATTCTGAAAATAAATATATTTGTATTGCATATTAAAATAAAACATATTTTTTATAAATTATATGCATTTAAACTAAAATAATATAAAACACAAATAAATAATAATATAAAATAAAAATTTCAAGGCTTACAATTTGCTGTATGATATTTATCATAAAAGCACGGAAAACATAAAAATATATTGCAGTATGCACGCTTTATAAATTCTGCTGTGTTACATAAACATTTGGCTCTACCTACAGATCCTGCAAAGCATATCTGATTTACGTTTAAAAATACTGCTTTAGTGCTTCCTAATTTGCTCGCAAACCATGCGTATCTGATCATTTTTTGAAATACAACAGCGGATAATTGGTGATGTATTAAAGAATGTATTTTCACTGTGTCTTCTTTCTATTCAATTCCCTTTCAATTTGCGTGACTTGATAACAATTTTGGATTTTACGCATGAACCCCCCTTCACTTGTCTAAAAAAAAGTACACGTCACACGGTTGGCAATAAGGAGTGCAATGAGGAGGAATAATCTCTACGGTGCTGGTTCTTTCTCCATCCTCGTTCGTAAAATTATTATTAAATAAAGCTGGATCCGCCTGAGTCCTTTACCCCATGAGTCAATTATTAGCAAAAACTTATCTTCCACATGGGGCGGTAGAACATTTTTTGACACAAAATGTCCTTTTGTCAATTTTCCACTTTTAGAAGCAGTCAGAAAAACGTTTCCAACTTCAGACATGTATTTTTCCATTTTTGACGGTCTTGGGCGAAATTCGCCCGCTGGCTCACGCGGGCGGAACACTTTAGGGAGCAGTTTTCCTTATGCTGTCACAGAATACTATGTATGCAGTGTATGTGTGAATTACTTTACTAAAACCTCCTAAATATTTCTGTTGCTTCAACTTCAAAAGGATTAAACTGCTATCAGAAAAGTTTTTTAAAAGTACAATCCTCTCTATATAAAATATTGGGTTCAAAGGTGAAAATATGTGAATTTTCAACGGAATGTTGGACAAGAGTGCTTTGGAAACTTCGGCTTTTATGATGAATGACGCTTAATTCATGTTGTCTAATTCTCTTATGGATGTATTGTGATGTTTGGCCAATGTATTGTTTTTGACAATTTTTGCAAGAGATTGAATAAACTATGTTAGGATTAAATTTAGGAGGGGTGGTGGATTTAATTTTTGAAAACATTTTTTAAAAGAATATAAAGCTATTCCTGAAATAAAAATATTTTTTTCTTTGAGTAGTTTGGCAAAATAATCAAATAAGCCTTCAATATAGGACATGTTGTGCAAAGTAGGTTCAATATTGCTATCTTGGAACAATTTGGTGATGGATTGATAATTGTTAGATTTATAATAGACAAGTCTTCTATTGCTAATGGAATTACTTTTTCTTCTTAGCCATGAATATTTCATGGCTAATTCATCTGTGAACATTTTTCTTAAAACATTTGTGGCATGATCACTCATGCAACAAAATCAGCCTGTAATTTAAATAATGTGTTTATAAAATTTAATTTTTTCTCTTTAAATAATTTCATATGTTTTATACCAGATCAAACAATGAGTCACATTTTACTCACATTCAATATTCAAGAAACGCTCTTTGGGCATCTGTACTTCTTTAAAAAAAATTCAATTGCAAGCAGCTTCCCGTCGTCTGCTTGGAAGAGCCTCCACTCCATTGGAACAGCTTCCATCCCATGCGATTGAGCTTCAGCCACACATCCGCTAGTAGTAGCTGCATTAAGAACAAATTTGTTTAAAAATATATAATATTTCATATGATCACGATTTTTTTTTATAAACTTACCTCTTACGTTGAGGCCGAAATTGGACCTCAATAGCTTCCAGTCAACGAGGTCAGGAAGCCCTGCTACAGCTGCATCTGTACATTATAATAATATAAAAATATTATATAAAATATATATTGAAAATGTAGTAATTTATTACCTTCAGCATCAGAGGTGTCGCTTTCTGATTCAGACACAACTGCAGCCTTTCTTATCCTATGCCCCTTGCCTAATTCCTTTTGCGAGGTTTATTCCGAATCATCGGCGTGCTTACTTGCTGACATATATGTGTCTAGAACTAATATCTAAGTTAAGAAAGCTTCCAACACTTCAATATTTCATATTTAAAAGTTATTTCTCACCATAAAACTCGACAAAAGTTATTTTTCTTCTAATCCACTTCGACTTGTTCACTGACGTTTGCTTCGCAGCTAAAGACGAAATGCGATATTTCATACGGGCAGGGGGCCACCACACTTCAGTTATATTTTCAGAATCATTATTTTCCACTATCAACCATTTGGAAGGAATCAATTTGGGATTTTTATAGAATGTTGTTGCAACATCACGTGCTTACTGGGAAATAAACTATAATACATTGGTGAAAATATAAATAAACATAACATGAAATATTTAACTTACCTTATTTTAAATTATAAATTAATTAAATAATATTACAAATAGAATTTAAATAAATTAGATAATTTAATAACAAATTAAGTGTTTTTTTTCTTTCCTGCCCTTTGGCACTCTATCTTTTTATTTCCACTTTCTCTCATATTTTCTTGGGCCGATGTTTTTCATGATCTTAGCCTCTTCATCATCTTCTGTATTTGTTCGAAAATTCTCTGGATTTTTGAAACCCTGAGATTTTTGTGACATATCTTTCTCTAAGAGTTCACGCTTAAAACCAGTATCACTCGGGAAAACCCTTACACATGCGTGGATGTGTTTGCAAATATTTCGTCTTATCAAATAATCTATGCAACTGCATGTGTACGTATACAAACAAATCTTACATCCTTCGCATCTCATGCATGTACTATTATATGTTTGATTTTTTTTTGATACTACGTATGGTGCAACGGTATCATCTGTTGGCAATACATTCCATTGTGTCCTGGGCATGCATTCTAGAATACGATGCGGCCTCAGAGCCTGCCAAATCGATTAAATTTATATATGATACTCGTACTGGGACTGTCCAGTACTAGACTCTAGTGGACCGTATTAACAAATCCGTCAAAAGAACACAACTTTCACTACGTTTATCGTTTGAGTATTCTTTGAAAGCACCCCTAATCACTTTTTTCAACTTTACAATGCAACAATTAGTGTCTATTTTACTATATCAAAGGCAAATTGAAATGTTTCAACATAACCCACATAAATTTAGTAAAAACTCAATTAGAAATCATTCTGGATACATGAAACATATAAATTCTTGAAATTTAAAAGAAAAGCACATAACTATAAGTTAAAAACATAATGCAAAAGATGAATTAGAATCAACATAAGTCAAATATAGAAATTATATAGAAATGATCATTAGCTAATCTTAAATCTAATTTTGATGTAACAAATTGAAGTTTAAAAAACATATATACAAAAGATTGCGAACTAAAATCGAAACATAGATATTTGAAAAACAATACAAAAGTTAGAGAATATTTATTTAACATGCATCATATATTCAATATACAAAATGATACAATAAATAAAATAAATATTGTAAATATAGAAATAATTTTTTTTATTTAAATTTAATAATCGCACAAACTTTTTATCCTAACTTATTGTGCACCCATGGATGTTGTTTACCATTGGAGGAATTGGAAATATTTGCTAATCCCCCGTGTAAAACCCACAATTAGAATTTTGTCCTTTACGAGCGACACAGGCAGAAGTACTGTCGCGAGTACTATCATTACCACCCTGGCCGCCGCGTTAGTTTCTTCGCTTATTTATCAAAAAACACAACTTTCACTATGTCGATCGTTTGGGTATTCTTCGAGAGGAACCTCTAATCACTTTTTTCAACTTTTCAATTCAATAATTAATGAATATTCACTTTTTACAACTTTTTAATACAATCATTGATAAATATTTGCAATGATTTGCACTATTTCAACATATTTTCGAACATATTTTGACACCGCAGATCATGTCGGTTGGTATCAATGTACTATGACATATGTAAAAAAAGGATTTTTATGTCAAACAAAGACAATGGTCTGCCAGAGGAGGCATTAAATCAAGCTAATAATTTGACACAATTCAGCCAGCATGAAGTTGCTGGCGAAGACTGATATCAAGCTGTCAAGCATTTCAGTTGTCAAGAGCGCGTCGACCATTTAGTTCATTTTTATATCAGCGTTGTGTCGGCGTATTGTTTTTTTTTATTAAGTAAGCTTGTTTCATATTTAATATTAATATTTTTTAGCTTTTCGTTATGATTCATTCTTTTTATATTATTTTTTTATGTCCGTTCAAGTTTATTCGCTTTGGCTTTTTGATTACGTGCCTATTTAGTTCTTATTTTAATTTTTACATTTTAGGGTTATGTTTTAGGATTCTTTTCATTCAAAGATCATTTTAGTCTAGCTTAGATTTTATACAATGTTTTAGTTATAATTTTGTTTTAAAAAATATTTTAGGCTTACGTTTTACGCATAGGGTTATATTTTATTCATTATTTTTGTTAGGGTTACGTTGTATACATTATTAGGTTTGGTTACGATCTTAACCTTAATTCAGTGGAAGCTAACTAAAACTCAACAAACAACAAATAGAAGGTTCAGTAAATGAAATAAAATTGAAACACTTTTGATGTTATAATACTATATTAAAATACTTCATACTGTCTTGGAATTGACAGATATATTTCGTTTTTTCTGCAATATTTGCTATGAGGGAACAATATATATTGTATTTTAACGTAATATATTATCTAAGGTAAATCCTATCATCTTGCTATTAGACAATATAATAATCATAATAATAATAATACTTGTGTGGCTGTGATAATAATGATCTTGACAGGTTTTAGCTATCAAAGTTATGAATCCAATACATTTCAACTTGACAGCTAACTTCTATTTCGTCCCCAACTTCATGCTGGCTGAAATGTGCAAATGTCAAAATTCTTAGCCTGATTTAAGGTGGTGTGTCTGCCAGTGTTTATTTGGCACATTTTTTACATTTATCTTATTAATAACTGAATTAGTGATGAACATTAATAACTAACTGAATATAAAGTAATAATGTTGTGTTTTATATTAGTTCGACAGCGTTTTCAGGCTACTTTTTGCAATTGTTAACAATCGTTTTTGAGGTTATGTTAGTGGCGGGTCTGCCAGGTATTATTTGGCAAATTTTTCACATTTATCTTATCAATAAATGAATTAGTTATGAATATTAATAAATATTAATAAATAACTATGAATATAAAGTAATAATGCGAAATAAATGTTAAAAAAATAATGAAAACAATTAGTTGTAAGTCAAACATCCAAGCTATGTATCATATATATTAATTAATATTGATTCTAAAATTGTAAGTTGAAGAGTGTCAATTGATATAAGACTTGATTTGTCTTTTGCCCAGATTTTTCTGAGAATATAGGGAAAGGCTTGAAAATCCACAACAATGCATGCAGCATATATAGTGCGCTTGAAATTACACATGATATGTTAGTTATTATAGAAGAATAGAAAGAATGCTAAACAAAGTCATTTTGAAAATATATATTCAACCCCTGAAAAAAAAAATACAAATAGACAAAAATATAATTTACGCTTTTATATATAATATATTATTTATAATTTTAACAGATTATACATCCATGTATATTATTAACCATCGGAATTTGCGGTTCCATTCTACTATTAGCGCCCTGGCCGCCGCGATGGTTTTTCTGCCCACCGCGGTTTTTTCGCGGTAATTTCCGAGGCCGCCGCGTTTGTTTACGCGGCCGTTGTTGCCTGTGACGCCGCCGTTGTTGCCCGTACCGCCGCGGTTGTTGACCATGCCGCCGCGGTTGCGGCCCCAACCGCCGCGGTTGTTGCCTCTACCGCCGCGGTTGTAGCCTGTACAGCCGCCATCGTTGCCTGCACCGCCGCGGCTGTTTCCTACGCCGCCGCCCCAACCCGCATCGTCTGCGGACTAAAATAATAATTAATAATATTATAATAGCTGATTGCTATGCATTTATGTATTATTATAAAAATTTAACATTACCTTTTTATAACTATATAATCTTATTTGATTATCTTTGAAAAAATGGAAGAAATATTCCTCCACGTTTTCCCTGTCTTCGTAAATAACCGGCAGGAGCGATAACACACGCTCTTCCTTTTGATACATCAATTTTATTGTGTCGAAGCATAAACCAACCGCCTTCATTTTGTAACCTATTATATAAAAAAAACTTATAATGAAAAATCCCTTAGCTATATAATATGTAAAAATATATGATTGTAGGTTAAGGATTTTTATGTCAAACAAAGACAATGCAAAATAAATGAGATTTAATTGAATAAATTATTATATTTTAACTATTTTCATAAAAAAATTAGGTTTTAAATGTTAGTCACGCCTTCGCTGATAGGCCACGCCCACGAAACTGTCAAATACCTGAGCCTGCCAGTTGTGAGTCTGCCAGTTATATACTCGTAAAAACTGAACTAGTATGTTAACCCAAGGTACTGAAAAGTAAAGTAATTTGAACTTATTCTATATACGCTCTATCCTATGTTACCTATATCCACAAATAAATAGGAGAAAATAATACTAATGATATAATTTAAGAACACTACTCACACAAAAATGAAATAAACCTGGTCTAACTTCTAACTATTTCAGCAACAAAATAAATACACATACAGATCGAGAAGCCGGAAAATTAACAATGATTACAACATGAAAAACGTGATAATTCTATGCGCGAACCCCAATTATGTTTGACAGACTTGACATTTACACACCTAACTTCACAGCGTTTTTACACACAAACTCCTGCTGTTTGTTTTTAATCATTCATGTTTCATTCATGCAATTGTTTGTTTTTAATTCGAGAACATATGAAATGAATAAACGTAAAAATTTCGCTGATTTGTCTAAGAGAACTATGCAACAAATTGTAAAGCAAAAGGTTGATGATTTTCAAAAGTTTGTGAATGGAATCGCGAGAACAATACTGCTTTTTCTTCAACAAGTGGTACAAGGGGTACTAGTTTAGTTTGTCAATTGAAAATCGGGTCTCGTAATGCATTATTCTTAAAAAGCTTTTTTGGAATTATTCTTAGTGACCTAGTAGTTAGGTATCTGCATATGAATTATTATGGGTTTATGGAATAAAATAAAGTAAGAAAATGTACGAAAAACATAACTTGAAAAATTGTAACTATCTAGTAAATTATATTTAATTTAAATAATATTGCATCGTGTGTTTTCCTTTGGTAGAGTTTTGCATGGCAATCCATCACATAAAGGTATAACTTGTGTTCCAGAAAATCGAGAAAATGGTGAGCGATTGCCTTTTTTTTGTTAATTTATAAATATACTTACATGTGCCACTACTTGAGCTTACATTTACGGATACTCTCGGATATTGAATAGTTTAGTTGTATGTGCTACTATTCAAACATACATAATTTTATTTGTTTATGAGTTTCTTGTTGAACAAAAATTAATCTTAAAGATCTGCGCATCATTTCAAGTACAAAAAACTATTCAAATTAAGTATTGTATTGTTAATGTAAAGTGTCTGTAGTTTTTTTAAATTGTTTTTTTATATTAAATATGTGTCGTCTTTGAATATATAAAATTTGTTCAAATGTATAGGGTTTGGAGAAATTTTAATTGCTGAATGTTAACAAAACAAATGGGAAAATATTAAATAACAGGAGAAAAATAAGATTATGGTGATAGTAGTGTTATAAATGAAATAATATGATAATGATGAAAAATTATTACGTTGATGAAATGAAATATAATGGACTATTGAATTAAAGTAAAACCACTGTTATTAATTATATTACAGCTGTTATGAAAAGAATTTAGAGATATAAATATCTTAATTTATCAGCTCGTGAAAGAGGGTTAATACTAATAACCACTGATAATATCATTATATCAAATTGCGATTCTATTGCCTCCAGATAAAGAACCAATAAGTATTATTGGAGGTGAAACAATTTAAATGTTTAGTCATATTATATCAATGTGATAGAAAGTCTCATTTTGTTACAAATCAAATTATGCATAGTTTTGCTTCTACATGAAATAACATGTGTCTAAAACATGTCATGAAAGGAGTCAAACTTGAGTCAAATATGTACATAATATGAAAAGTTCGTGCGCAATACACGATATTTTCTGTATAATTTTCAACAAGATATGTATATAATAATTATGATTCAAATATCAAATGAGGTGGGATCAGAACATTAATGACTTGGGATTTTTAAAATTTTGGACTATTCGTTTAGAAGACAGATTCAGATGCGACAATGCTCAGAGGAAATGGATTGTTAATGACCATTGTGATACTACCAATATTAATAATTTGATTGATACGCCAGATCGACGAGTGACTTATAACATCTGTGTAAGAAATTTTGCGAAGCTTTTTACAATCTAGTCAAAGACATTCAAATTTTCTTACTAATTGTGAAAATAGTTTTTAACCAAATAAAAAGAGCACGGGCATTAAAGATTATTGATTTTCATACATTAACATGACACTAACACGTGTTAAAAAAAAAGTAGTAGTCTTAGTTTAGTCGACGAAATTTTAACACATCTAATGGATTTTGAGGTATTGTAAATCGGTGACAATCACAATCAAAGATAATCGAAGATATTTTAATACTTGCAGGAATAACTCAGTCGTGAACATTGATTTGCTAAGTAATTACAACATTTTGGAACCTTCATCTGACTTACCTGATTTCCAATCTTCGACAAATTATTTATTGGTTTAACATATATCACTAAATTTGTGAGGTCATGTGATGGAAATTGAGACATGAGATGCAGCATGGATATTATAAAAATAAAAAGTTAGGCTGAATAAAATCGATCTCGTAATCACTCCACGAAAGTAGTGAATCTGCTAGAATCCATCAAGATGTCTATAATGAAGTGAATTCTAGATGGAATGTGAATTACTTTAGTTCTGGTGGAAATGGCGCTCATTAATCCAAATGATTTGAAAAAAAAAAACTTCGTATATGCTTCTTATTTGCATTATAACTCACTCATTTTACTTGCAAAAAACTTGTAACAGCACTCAATTTAAAGCTTATGTTGAGAACTATAAAACCCAATTTCACCGAAATGCATAAAATGTAAAACTTCGACACTAGATGGCTTTAAATACAACAATTAAATCTTGAACGAAATAAAAAACGACTTTGCTCCTTCAAATCTCGCCTAATATTTCTGCTAGACTACTTTCTGTAATACCCATTTATTAAGATTTTTAATGACATTATTTTGTTCATTACATGATTTTTGTTAAAATGTATATTTTAGGAGATATTTGCAAAAAAAAACGAAGAAAATCGCCAAAAATATATAAATCTTTAGTGGCCAGTAACTTGAAAAGTATTAGTTTTTTTTTAAAACTATAAAAGATATTTTTTTCTTATAATTAGCTCTTTTATCGATTTCCGGTGTTACTTTGAAAAAATGTAATTACACATTTGAGAAGGGGTGTCATCCCCCCGGGGGGTGATGGCGCAACCCGAATTGTTTTCACTTTTGAACTTGAGGGTAAGATGAACCTAATTCCAAAATTTCATTCAATTCGCAGCACAGTAAAAAAATTCAGAGGTTATACCCTTTTTTCTTCTCCGTTTACTGCACTACTGTTATAGCATCTAACATTAATTGTAAGGGGACGTTGGTGAAAAGGGGAACAACATCTAGACTCACTAATAGGGTTTCGTGGGGTAAGACTATATTATTTAATTGATTTACAAATTCAAAGGAATTTTTTATGAAATGAGGGGATTGGACAGTTATGATGGAGAGTATATTACTTAGAAATTTTGAGAATTTGGACAGAGGAGAATTTATGTCAGCGACTATGGGTCTGAAAGGAACGTCTTGTTTGTGAATTTTAGGGAGGCCATAAAGTTTGGGATTATAGGGATGTAAATTTTTTAAAGTGGATGAAAGGCCTTTTGAAATTTGTTTATGGGACACTAGGTTGTTGATTAATTTGTGAAGAGAACGGTTAATGCGTTCTGTCGGATCAAAAATAATTGGAGAGTAAGTATTAGTATCGGATACTAACCTTGAGACTTTTTCCAAATATGTGTGTCTATCTACAATAACTGTGACGTTACCTTTATCGGCTCTAGTTACTAACAAATCAGGATTATTTTTTAAAAAGATTTTGCAATCTCTAATATCTCTCAGAATGTCTTTGTACTCTATATTTTCTTTGAGTTAAAGGATTTAATAGCGGAAATAAAGTTTTTGCAAAAGGTAGCCTTTGTATTCATTCTTAGGTCTGTGTTTTTAATATTATAAAGACCTGCTTCTAAGCGACTTAGAATTTTAATGAAGTTGATGTTGTAACATGAATTGGAAAAAACAAAATTTAGCCCCAAGGCAAAGATGTATAAAAACCTGTCTGGGATAGTTACATTGGAAAAGTTTTTTAACCATTTGTTAATGACTGATTCACTTAAAATGATTTTGGAGGAGTTTATTTTGGATTGCAAAAGCTTTTCAAATTTGTTTTTATAAGATATTTTTTGATTAACGCAAAAGTTCCTATAGCGAATCGATTCGAACTCAAAAAAAAACTTTCCAGGATTTCCGATTCTACTGTATTGAGTAACCAGTTATTTATCTTATTAATAGAAAGTTTTAAATTTTGTATGTTGCAGATACAATTTTTGATTTCTAGGGAAATGATATGTAAGCTTAAGGAACTAAATTTGTTATTGAGGCTATTATTAAGGTGCGAGAATTTTTCTATTTTAAGCCGGTAGAAATTTGGAATGGTACTTTCTTTCCTGCAACGTAATAAAAATATATGCTTATTGGTATTTGTTATTAGTTTAATTTAGAGAGTAATTTGAACTGAGATAAAATGTAGAAACCGTAGTGTTTTTTTATAAAAGAGAAGGAGTAATTAGAGGTGTAATTATTAGAACGTTGAAATTGTTTAGGGTTCATAATGGAGAAAACGCAATTGAAAAATAAAATTATTAAACAGTGAAAAAAGAGGAAAGGGGAAGAACCGTGTAAATTGAAAATGAAAAAGAAATTACTGACAAAAAAGTGTTACATAAGGATTACAGAATTAGTAAGTAAATAAAATAAAATTTAAAAGTGAAGATATTATAGCAATGAAAGAACCAAACATTAGGAAAACAAGGTTCTTAACACAAGAGAACATGTAATTAAGTAAGTACAAAATAAAGGTAGACTAAGTGCAAAAAGAGATAGTAAACATAGAGTAGTGATAACTAACAATAAACTAAGTAAAACTAGTGAAAACCAATAGAAACAGTCTTGAATAGAGAGGAAAGGAGAAGTTCAACTTGTACATTCAGAGAACTGGATCGTAGAGTGCAAAAGTCTATTTTCAGCTCAGGATATTATATGTTGAAAATGTTTAAATTTGATGTTGAAATGTATGATAGATTTCTTGGAGGGCGTAACATCAAGTAAAAAAAAGTAAATTTTTTCAAAACATCTTTATATTTCCATACGTTTTGACGTAAAATTCTACGTCATCTTCAGTGGTTCTACAATTTAAAAAAAATAAAAAAAAAACAGAAAGTAACGTTACAAATTGAATATACATAAGTAATAGTAAAAAGAAAAGTTTTAACTAAAGAGAATTGCATAAAACATTACTTACTTGAATTATTTATATTATCACTAACACATATTAATATAACTTGTACAAATTAATAATTAAGTGTCAGTAATTTCTTTTTTTTTAATAAAAAGAATAAAAGAATAAAAAGTGATTAATAATTGAAATATTATACGTAATACACGTGCATCCGAGGCCAGTGCCAAACAGAATAATATTATTGTGAGTGGCCGAGATGGAAGTCAAAATTTTTAAAAAAACAAACCACATGTGCTTGCGTTTGACCCAACGTCTTGGCGCGCTATGCAAGTTGTGCAAACCGTGGTGTTAGGTATTCGATATGAATTCCGAAACATTATTTAGAACAAATTGGTAATTTTCGCAAATGAAGCTGGCGTCCGTACGTTTGTTCAAACAATAATTTCTGTTCAAGAAAATATAGGCTGATTCTGAAAAGCGCCTTTATGAGACCTTCGACTCGTGATGAAGAACCTTTGCGTTATAAAAATTGAATGTATGGTTATTTAGTTTTAAATGTTCTGTGATCATTGTTTGCCCTTGATTTTTGTTTTTCGAGTTATTATCGTGTTGTTTCAATCGTTTGATAAGGTTCTGTCCTGTTTCGCCAATATAGGTGGAATCACAGTCATTGCAAGATATTTTATAGACCACATTAGATACTCGTTTTAAACTAGTGCGCGGCTTTAAATTTGAGAAGAGAGAGTTGAGAGTTAAATCGATGTTACATACTAAACGGAGATTTGCGTTATAAAAAGTTTTTTCCACATCGGATAAAGTTCCTTGATGTAAGGAAGGCAAATGGTACCTTCAAAATTATTGTCTTTAGTGGAAATTAAACTCAGGTTGGGGTTAGTTATTTTGTTTTTAAAAAAGTGAGTCTATTGTTTGTGACGGATTTTATAAGATGTGGGGGATAGGAATTTTGTGTAAGGGTATATAAATATTTTTGTTTAAAAAAAAACCGCATGACTTTATGATGAATACATTTCGAAAAAATACCTTGCATGTTTTGTAACAAAAAAATGCCGAAAAACTTTTATAATTATAAAGAATATTTTAATAATTACTTTATTATAAGAAAATTGTATCAATAAAAATGAAAGAAATTCACACGGAATAAAATTACTTTAAAAAGAGCAATAACAATAACACAAAAGTTTTCGCAATTTACATAAATAAACTATTCTAAAATAGTTTAATTTTAATTAAAAATAAAACACTAAAAAAAATAAAAATAAAAATTAAAATTAAATTATTCGATAATAATAAAAAGAAAAATACACGATAAATTGCTAACAAGAATACACTTACTTGAAGCATTGCGCGACTTATTGCCTAAAGGCGTGTTTCCATACAGAATTGGTCCCACCCTGGTATTTAAATTATTTTGATGCCATTTTATAGGTATTTTCCAGAAAATTCGAAATACCAAATTTCAAATCCGTAGCTCATCATTTGGCCGAGATATCAGTGAAAACATGTTAAAGTGGCCCTTTTATCAAAC